ATTCTCTCAGAATTGGAAACTCATGAAGATGCCTGGCCTTTCTTACTTCCTGTAAACTTGAAACTTGTTCCTGGTTATAAGAAAGTTATTAAAAAACCGATGGACTTTTCTACCATTAGAGACAAGCTAAGTAGTGGACAGTAAGTAAACCTATTGTAAATTGTACTTTACATATTAAAAATATTTAAACACTGAAATACAATACATGTTTAAAATTAGCCAAACTATACTGTTCTGCTCTGACACATCTGTGATTACTGTTACAGTCAAAATAAAAATCCTTAATTGTATGCTTTTATCTTTGCCATATCCAAGTGAAATAGCATGTTGGATGGGAGAATGTGTGGAACTGGCTGAAAAACATTTTGCCAGGTCAAATGCACCAAAACAATCAAAAGGAACCTTTTTTCATGGAGACCCCTTAGTGTACTGCATGTCACAGAGAACCAGCTGTGTAGGCTTTAAGCTTCTGGAGTCCCTGATGTGGCTGTGGAGTGACATGCCAGCTCTGTTGTAGGTAACACTCCTGTAATGGTGGTTAATCATTTTACAGTCCTACAGTTAGACTGCGTGGATTCTTAAAAGACATGCCTCTATGTACCTTCCCTCCTTGTTAATATCCCTGTGCTCTCATGAATCTGTGAAGATGGACCCTCTGCAGTGTCTGCCAGCTCCACACACAGCAACTTCCCTAGGATGGCACAAGGAGCTTTTTAACCTCTTCAGACTTGTTCTTCCATGAATATGAGATTTAAAAGCTCCCCTTGTGCTCTTATCACTAGACTTGTAACTTCTTTTCTTATTTTTAATAATTCCTATGAATATTGGAACATTCTTTGGGCCATTCAGGATCATAAAAATAATTAGCAAAGACAGTGTCATAAGATTATTTGGGCAGCCTTTTCTTGTACCCATTTGTTCCTCATTTAGATAAATTCAGCTCTGTTCATCATTTTGAAAGGACCCTGAACACAAGAATAGATGCATAAATGGAAAACAGCCATAGCATTTTAGCTAAAAAGCTGTTCAAGAGAGGGAGGAACTAGTTTTTTTGAAGTTTGTTTTCGAGTACAGGCATGAAATTCTACCTTACAAAACTTGTGAGGAAAATAACAAAACAGTGACAAGAGAGTATTTCCTTCCACTGATGTTCATTTTCTTTTTAGAAATTCTAGTTTAAATTCTTACTTAAATATTTTCTCATGTAGTTGAAATATTTTTCCTCTGTGATTCTCTATGTTCCAAAAATCATTCACTTTTATCTTCTTTTAGGTACCCTAATCTTGAAGCATTTTCGCTGGATGTGAGGCTTGTTTTTGACAACTGTGAAACTTTCAATGAAGATGATTCTGACATAGGCAGGGCTGGCCACAACATGAGGAAGTATTTTGAAAAAAAATGGACAGAGATTTTCAAAGTGAGCTGAAGCTACTAGGACTCTTTTTTCTTTTTTTGTTTTTCTTTTTTTTCCTTCCATTAATTGAGGACTGATAAGACCAGCAATGTGAACTATATTTACATGGAAGTGCAAGGCACATACGTAACCAATTTTTTCCTTCAAACCATGGAATTGTGATACTAGTTTTAAAGGCTTCACTCCTACAGCAACCATGGCCCCTTGGTTATTGGTTTGTGTGTTTTAACAAACTAATTTAGGTAGAACAGGGAAGCACACCCAAAGAATTTCAAAGAAAGGGGTGTTATAGTGCAATAGCAATTTTCAAAACGCACTGAATATTCAACCACCAGAGCTCTACTTGGGGAAATGGTTCTCTTTTCCCTTTCAATAAATATCTATTTTTCATTTTTTTTACTTTGTAGTTTATTTTTTAGTGAATGTATTTAATTTTATGAATTATTTATGATTATACAGCATTCAGAATCTTCGTTTTCTGTGAAAAGGAAGAACTAGAAAATTGCTTTAAATGTTGAAAATACAACAAGGAATGTTTTAAAATATAAAACAAAGCCAAGTAAAACTGTTTACACTGATGTGCTGTAAAGGCACTAAAAATTAAACTTTACTGTAGAGTTACAAGTACATTTATATATATGTTGCTGCATCACTTGTGTAGTTAAATTGTATTTCAAGACAGTGAAGAAAAATTGAGACATGTATATACTGTTCATTATTGTTTATATTAAGTCTTGTTTTAAATATGTATGATGTGTACATATTGTTTGCAGACATTATTGTTTATGCCTTAGGAGGATGGTAGCATTTTATTTTAGTCTTAAGGTAATTATAGCTCTATGGCTTGTACAGTAATTATCCTCTACCAACACTGTGGAGTCTCCTTAATCTTGGTAGTGCCTGCCTTTAAAACAGGGTGTAGGGGATATTAGTTTTCCATTTTTCTATTTTGTTATATAATTTCAAGCCCCCACGGCCTCAAATCCAAGTATAATCATTTGTATCCATGTGGAAGAAAATTGTGACAATTTCCTACGCACACAGTATTTTTTCATAGAAACATTTCCTCCATTTGCCTTGCCACAGAATAACAAAAGAAGACATTTGTAACCACTGTGTTTTATCTACTGTGCGTTGTGGTGGCTTGTTGGGGCAGATAGATCGGATTTTTTTTTTTTTTTGTACTAATGTAAGAGTACTTGAAGTTTTATTTAAAAGAAATGTTGTGGAAAGGTAGCATTCTTTTTCTTTTCCCTTTTTAGGAGTGTTATTTTTCACTAGTATGTGTGGCACGGATACAATAAAAGACTGTTTTGCAAACCAGATCTTCTTGACAATTTTAATACTTCAGGTTATATGTACACAGGTTTTTTGGTTTGGGGTATTTTTTAGATAATGTCTTGGGAGTCTGGCATTTAACATTGAGTTCTTTTTATGATGCATCTAATTCTCTTGGGCTTTTAATGGTAGTTCATAAGGAAGCAGTTGCCAAGCAGTCAGAGAGAAGCTCCCTGCCTGTAAATAACAGAGGTCTGCCAGGTTGATCACTGTCCTTATGGACATGGAAATGCACATGTTTGGTCATGTTTCTGAAAACCATTGTCCATGTAAGGTTCTGTCCCTTTTTTGGCCAGTAGAAGGGCATTAATCATAGTCCTTGCTCTGACTGAAGAAAATACAGAAATTACAAACAGATATTGTGGAACCACAATACCTGTAGTTCTCTCAAAATAATGTTGGGGTGTTGGTTTTCGCTTTTAAACTAGGTCTGCCATGTTTTGAGTCTTAGTGCCTATTCTTTAATTAATGTTTCCATTGCTCTCCCCAGAATATCTTGTTCAGTAATATTTTCTTTTATTCCAAGTTCTGTTAGAATAATCTTTATTACTTTGAATAAAAAAAAATCACATTTGGGTGTCAGTCTTGCATGCTAACGTGAACTCCCACACTGACTGCTCCATGCCTTTCCTTTTCATGACCTTTCTGAAGACTTCAGTAAAGAGGTTTGCTGATGTGTACCAGAGATGTGAAGATTAATCAATGTTTTGAATTTATGATGGTAAGCTTGTAAGGTGTTATAAATACGCTTAGGTAACAGAGAAATCTAGTTCTTCAATTTTTATTTTTTTTCAGATTCTGTGCTGGTTAATGCTTTTGTCTGCAGTACTAGAACTGTTAGTTTTCTGAAATATCAGACAAGTAACCAGCTAAACTACATACAATATGTATAATACAAGTTGCATTTTTTTTCAATTTTTATCCCAATTCAGCTGAACAGCTGGGAAGGTGACAACATCTACTACTATAGTGATGACAGTGAGACAAGCATCACCTCTAACTTGACATGGCCAGTGTATCGCTTTCCTTGCTAACAGCCATTGTCTTCATTACTCTTGCAGTAAAATTAAATGTACAGGAAATACTATATTTGAATGGCAAGCTTGAGTCATGCATGTGCCCTCATACATCCATAGAAAAGAGCAGGGATTTAACCACAAGAAAAAAGTTTGTAACATTTCCTCATTGCTAATTTTCTCTCCCGCTGATGTTCGTATGTTTTCTTAAGAGGAAAAATTTTCCAGTGTGCTCTCAACCTTTCTGACCAAAGTGTGCCAGTCTTAGTTTACAGAATTTATTCTGAAACTTTCAAACTTACTATTTTATAAATACCGTAATGACACTCAATGAAGAGTGTTATGGTGGAGTGTGAGTTCTCTTTTATCTGTTTGGAAAAAATGGGATGATAAAAAAACAACTGAAAATCAAACTATGTATCTTTAAAAGGAGGTCTAAAGCCTTCTTTTTAATAGTGGCTGTCACCTAGGATTCAGAACAATGAAAGGCCAGGCTTCAGCCATGGATCACAGAGTGTGCTATCAAATAAAGTGCTATAAAACAGAGCGTGAGATGGTACAGACTAAACACGGAAGGTCGACCATTTAGGGAATGCTTCATAGGCATAGTGACTCCGAGGAAGTGACTTTGTCCTCCTCAGAATGTCTAGGTGCCGACTAAACCATTTATTATGTGCGAGTTGCTGAACGTGTGTGTGAAGCGGGGGAGAGGGCGATGGTGTAAGTTACCTGAGGGCTGCTGGGCCTGGGGGAGCACGCTGTAGGAACTCCCTTGGCTCTGCTCGAGGGCCGCGCCTGTGGCGGGCGGAGGCCGGGCTGAGGCGGTCACCGTGTCGATGTCGGCAGCACAGCGTGCCCCGCTGCCCGCTCGGACACGGCTGGCGCCCGGCTGTGCTCTGGTGTGAGGGCGCGGCAGGGGCCGGGATAGCATCCGGCCCCGCCGACATCCCACAGGCGCTGGCACCGCCTGCGCCCACGCAGGGTTCGTGCCAAGGCAGCCATAGCGCCGGCGGCTGCTGTGCGGCTCCGGGCCGGAGCTGAGGGCGCGGAGGGCTGAAGGTCGCACGATCCGCGCCCGCGCTGCCTCGGGGCCGGGACCAGTGGCAGCGGTGAGAGCGGGAAACGCAGTGCGACTCCCCCCGCGGCCGGCGCGCAGTGGCGCGGCCCTCAGCGGGGCGGGTCGGCCCGGACTTCACCACGCCGGGAGGCCGGGGGGGGGCACCGCGCGTGCGCAGCTGCCTGGGCCGTGCGGGGGTGGCCGAGGCCGGAGGCGCCGCGGTCGGAGCGCGGGAGGTGCGGGCGCGATCCCCTCATGGCCGGCCGGGGGCCGTGCCTGGTGGCCGCGGGGCCCGCGCAGCCGGGGCAGGGTCTGCTTTAGCCGACACGTACCGCTGGAGCTCGGGGTGACTCCGCCGACCTTCCGAGCGCGTCCCCGCCGCGCTGCCGGCGCGATGGGTTGGGTGGGGATGGGCTGCGGGAGAGAGCAGTAGGGAAGGGGCTGCCAGCCGTGTCGAGAATTGCTGTAGCTCTTTCTGTGGGCCGGTGCTGCTGGTTTGTGGATTATGAGAAAAAATACGTAATTGCCAGAGAGATGATGCTGTGGTGCTGAGCATCTCTCTGGTGGCGAATGCTCCCGCTGCTCCTAGCTCCCTCAGTCGATTTATTGATACTGAAACCTCTTGTTCTTAGGTTTGCTTTTCTGCAGTGACTCCTGAAAGTCTCCTGACAGTGAGATCAAGGTGCCTTTTTCAGCTCATCTTTCCAGATGTTAAGCTTTCCCTGACTCTTCAGTTTCTCGTAGTTGAAAAAAGTATGTTTATTTTCTTTCTGCAGCTAAGATATGTTATTGATGCTCCTTCATTTGTTTAATGGTTTTAAAGAGTGTGGTAGTAAAACTGAGCATCCTGAAGTTAAAGTAGGTAGTATTCAATGATCTTGTTTTTAACTAAATTGGTGTGCCATACACTGTCTGAAGAGAACAAGTATTTTGCCCTTACACATGCACCTTTGTGTCTGTGTGTATATGTACATGCCTCTGCATATGTGTGTATACATTTATACATACTTACATGTCTACATACATATAAATATATTTGTGTGTATGTTTCTATGTAAAAAAAAGAAATGTGTGAGTATATGTGGTTTTGTTCACAAATGCCTCAGCACTGAAATTATTATTCAGAATGAAGCACTTATCTAAAACAGCAGACTATTATCTAAGTTAACTCAATATAAATAGTATTGCTGTTTTTTTTCATTATAAACAGCTTATAAGAGCTGTAGGCACTTCATTTTGGCTCTGCATTTATTCTCAGGAAACTTGTCTGTGATCTGCAGCATGGGGAGTAACTGGTTGAAATGTACCTCTCTGGGGATTTCCCTGACCTCAGCAGTATAAATCACTCATCTGATACAATTTAAACTGGTTCTAGCAGTTTTGCATCCTAGGGAAATGCATGTGAAGTTCACATTGCCTTTTGTTGTTCTGTGTAGCAGCAAATGCAATTTCTGGAGAGGTTCCAATGGTGCTCACCCAATTAATGTTCACATTTTGACTTAAATGTTTTAGTCAGTCTGGTCAAACGTTGAATTGGCAACACAAGTGTGTGGTATTGCACCGATGTTTTGCCTTCACTACTGTTGCTATCTGTGAAAATAAGCAGAAGGGAGCTCTTGGATGAATTCAAGCAAAAAGGAAAAGATGCAGGCAAGGACAGGTAGACTGGGAGGACTACAGAGAGATCTTTCGAGCAGTCAGGGATTAGGTTGGGAAGGCTGAAGTCCTGATGAAATTAAATCCAGCCAGGGATGTCAGGGGCAACAAGAAAAGCTTTAATAGGTATGTTGGTGATAAAAGGAAGATTAGGAGAAATGTTGGCCCCCTCTGGAAGGAAACAGGAGACCTGGTTACCCAAGACGTGGAGAAGGCTGAGGTACTCAATGACTATTTGGTCTTGGTCTTCACTGGAAAGTGCTCCAGCCACAAAAAGGCTGGAAAAGGTCTTTTTTACAAGGGCATGTAGTGGTAGAAAGGGGGATGGATTTAAACCGAGAGTAGGTTTAGGTTAGGGATTAGGAAGAAATTCTGGGCTGTGAGGGTAGTGAAGCCCTGGCACAGGGTGTCAAGAGAAGCTGTGGCTGCCCCATCCCTGGAAGCATTCAAGGCCAGGCTGGATGTGGCTTGGAGCAACCTGGGATAGTGGAAGGTGTCCCTGCCTATGGCAGGGGGTGAAACTGTGTGGGCTTTAAGACCCTTTTCAATCCAAACTAGTCTGTGATTTTATGATTCTCTGCTTAAACAATGCTAGGTGAAAATCGTACTTTGCAAATGAGTTTTTCTTTCTTTTTTTTTTTTCCTTCACAATTTATCGTGCTAAGGTAGTATGTTTCGTTTACGAAACGGGAAAATTAAGTCTGGTAACCTCTTTTCCAGATTTTTATTTTTTCAAATGGCAACATTAATTCACACTTTAGCGGATCACAGTGATGACGTCAACTACTGTGCCTTCTCATCATCGCGCTTGGCTACGTGTTCCTCGGACAAAACAATTCGCGTTTATTCTTTGGGCGACTTCGCCGAGCTCCCGTACTCGCCCTTGGAGGGCCACGCGTACGCCGTGCACTGCTGCTGCTTCTCGCCGTCGGGCCTCGTGCTGGCCTCGTGCTCCACGGACGGCACCGCGGCGCTCTGGGACGCGCGCGACGGCCGCAGGCTGGCCGTGCTGGAGCAGCCCGGCGCCAGCCCCGTCCGCGTCTGCCGCTTCTCTCCCGGGGCCGCCCATCTGCTGGCGGGGGCAGCGGACGGCAGCGCCGCGCTTTGGAACGTGCAGTCCAGGAAACTGTACCGGTGAGCGACGCATGGGTTCTGACAAGTGCTTTGTTTTGAGGTGAATATGGATCAGTCAGTATGCTGTACTGGATACAAGACACGCAGACTTTACACCACTGATGGATGTCACAAAGAAACGGGGATAGGATTTAGATGACCAAAAGATTTTCAGTAGGAGAGAGAAAAGTGCTGAGGAACTTTTTGGTTTTTTTAAGTTAAACAATGCGAACTCAAGAAGCTTTAATTTTTACAAAGTTATCATACAGCTAAATCCTGATTTTTAGAAGTTCATTTCATGGATTTAACATGAGATCAGGATGCATTGCACACTGTATGCATCTGATTTCTGAATAGTGGGTCAGCAAACTGTGGTACATAATACACAGTTAGTGGATCCTGACTGTACTGTGTGCTTTGTATTGCATTACACATAGTAGTATAAATTCAATGCTTTATTACTAGGAGTTTGGAGTCCAGGAAGGTCTTAGAAGCTTGCAGCAACCAGAGTTTGGAAACTATGGACCTGTCCTGAAACTGTACATTTTAGGAAGTGTTAGTGAAAGAAGTATTGGTGCCAAATAAGTTAAACATGACAGTCAACATTTCACATAGGTTTCTTGGAAACATTTGAAACAAAACAGATGAGAATATTTATTGGTTAAAGGCATGAACCTTAGAGCTATCTTCAGAGTCCTCCTCTACATCTCTGTCTTTCAGTGAATTCTTTAGGCCAGTTGTTGTAATCTGTATTTGGGCAAGACATTATTTAGGTTTTAGGGCTTATTACACAACTAAATAACTCTCTAAAGTAGTTAAGAATTTGAGCAAATTGATGTTTTACTCAGGATTGAGGGAGCAGCTGTTTCTGAAAGACAGAATTGTTTGATGTTGGTAGTCCCCTGTCAAGCATGTCCCTCGTTTTGTGGCCTCTTTGCCTTCCACATTGGTGATTTATGTGGGAACTGTGCAGTTTTTAAAATGATTGATTATAGTTACTTGAAATTGTGTAAATCTGGAAGTTGGTCCATAAATTGTCCAAGATTTTTGCCACCATGTTTTTTGTAATACATAAAGAAACACTGAAATGGTTCTAATAGTAAAGAGGTACTGATAACCTATTTTTTCCTAGTTTTATCTTTCAGAAAAATTGGGAAATTCAGTCATTAGTATTCTGAAATCTGAGGGTTTATTTGTTTTGAGGCATTAGTAGTGAAGAAATATTTTTTTAAAAAATTCAGAATGCTTGTTGCTGAAGGGAAAAACCCAGAAATATGAAAACAACATTTCTTACCATTGTATGGCCTTAATACATGCAGTGATGCATGGTTTACACCTACATCCTATTTTTATTCTAGTTGAGTGGTGGATGTATAATGACTACTTAGAAACTATATTGTTATTAGAAGCAAAAATTATCCTGCTTTGGTGTTTTCATTGTAGAGGAATAAGAAAAAACTTGAACATTACGGTCCCGTCCCCTTCAACTATTAAAAGTTCATTTCAGAGTGTTGACAGGCCAGCAGTAGTCAACTTAACTTTATATCTATTTTGGGATGTGCATGTGTGTATGTATTTTCAGCTGATGAATGTTTTTATTGTGATTTGTAATTGCCGGTAGAAAAATGTCCTGTTTTTAATAGTTGAAATCAGTATAACATAGAAATCATCAAAGTACTTAAAAATTATGTCAGAGGAAGTTAGTTAATCATCTAATGTCATTCTGTGGTCCTCTGTTTCTTTTGAAACAGTTGATTGTGTTGATGCTGAAATGAGAAAACATTTTACTACATTGTTTTGTCACTTGACTAAATATATGGATGGTAATTATAATAAAATTAGATAAAATTTACTCCTTATCTACTCAGCTGTTGTAATTGAGCAGTTCAGATTGTGAAGTAAGGTGATTATTTAAATAAGTTCTACGGTGGATGTGAACAACAGGAAAGCAAGTTGACTCATGTATTTTTTACTGGTCTCTGTTTCCTTTTCAGTAGTAAGTTACAAAACTGGCATTTGGCCTGCAAATTTTAAATGTATGCACAATGCTATTTATTTTACTGTTGCTGTCAGAACAGAATCTGCAACTTTTTGTGTGAAAGAAGGAAATTTGGAAAAGCTACACTAAAGAAAAAAGATTGTACATATAAAAATGGGAAGCACTGTAGTGGATTTGATAGTATTCTTAATAAAAGAATTAAGGGAGACAATGCTTTTTAGAAGGTCATGGGTCTGATTAGTGTGGCACTGAGGAAAATTTAATTGACTTGTCTTCTGTGACATTAAGTTTGACACCTCTGGCAGTAAATAAAATTTCTGTCAGTAAAAAAGCATTAGCAGCTGTTTTACAAAGTACAGTGACAGAGTAGGGCTGACATGTCCTGTCATGTGACTTTGTCATGGCTGTGATTTTCTCCCTGCACTTAAAGACTCAGCTTGGTTGGATCTGATGTCCATTAAAAGGAGTGAGACTCTTTTGGTTAATTTTAGGTTATCAGATAATATAAAGGATGTCAGGTTGACCCCACTTCCTTCCTGAGGGCTGACCACAATTCCGTATCTGCTACAAATTTTCTTTGAAGATTGTCACCCTGTTCTTCTAAGTTCTTCTAAGCCTTCTGATGTTTACATTTTTGTAACAAACTTTCTCACGCACTTTATGTAAATAATTACTGTTTTTACATTCTTTTCTGGAGGAGGAGAAATTTGATGCACTGTTAGTTTGTCTAGTGTCGTTGGAGAGGTGGCACTGTCATCCTCCAATCCACTGTCACTTTTGACAATCTATAAATGTTGAAGTCAGAAGTTAAACTTCCTTTTTTCTTACCTTGGAGGTTCCAGTGTGTGTGTCATTTTATTTTGTGTCCTAGAGCAACAGAAGAGCAGTTTTCCAAAGTGCTTCAGCTGACTTAATTAAAATACAGAATTTTTTTTCCACATTGCTTTCTCTTCTGTAAAGGTGGTGCAAAATTAGTCCTACATCAATAATCACAAAGTATTCTATTCAGCTACGGCTTATCATGTGGGCTAGTAGGTGTTCTCTTTTTTCTCTAAAACCAGAAGAATTGTCTGTCTTTTTTTTCCCTTGTTTGTGTACATGTAAATCTGTGTTAATTATAGTTGTATATTTATCTTTGACTTGTAAAATTATCCTGCCATAGACTTTTAACAGTGCACTCTGCCTTTTAAGTGTTAAATCCATGCAAATTGTCTTTAGTTTGAAAATTATTTTATCCCTCAGTTAAAATTATTGCCTTGGGCCTCCATCTCATGTTTTTCCTCCTGCTGTCAAAGAGCTGGTCTGGTCCCTGCTGCAGAGCTTATTTTGCTCTCTTTTCGTAGCTGGTTTGAGTTTCTCTTTCCTCTGTTAGCTAGTTCCAAAGTGCAAACCTTAGAAGAGTTTGGCTTATTGCATCAGACTGCATTTGAGAGGTCACTTTGTAGGACTTTACCTACTCGAAATTGAAATCCTGTGTACTCTTGCTTTTCAGATCTGGGAAAGTTAAAGGCGGTTCTTTGATGGCTTGTGCGTTTTCTCCCAATGGAAACTTCTTTGTCACTGGATCATCAAGTGGTGATTTAACCATCTGGGATGATAAAATGAGATGCCTGTGTAATGAAAAAGCACATGATCTTGGCGTGACCTGCTGTGATATTTCTTCACATCCAGTATCTGGTTAGTTATTCAATTCATTGGAGAAGGAATATTTTTAAAAAGAGTTATTTATTTCTCCCTAGCTCTTGTTTTCATATTCTTTTTGCCATTTGTGCTCAAGATACAAATGACCTTGTGAAGAGCTGATGTTTTGGAATATTCTGAATATTCTTAAGTAAAGGTTGTGGTCAGGTTGGTGGCAAGGAACGTACTAGGCCAACAAACAAGGTGATAACTTTGAGTAGCTAATAACCCCCATGGCAGACAAGGGTGTTAGGAGATGCAGTATTTGTTTACCATTCCCTTGACTCTTTTATACTTTGGTTCCCAAGGAGCAGGACTGGATTAAAACAATGCAGAGAGCTGTAAACCTAATAAGCTAAATGCTTGAACTGTGGAATATGAACAGATAGGCTATTTTCCTGCACCTGACTTTGTCATTTAGAGGAATTTGGGGGAGTAATGAGCCCAGAATCTCCTGCATTCCACTAAGATGTTCAAAATTCTTGGAGCTGTTTTAGCATTTGATCACGTTGTCATTTGCTTCTAATGGAGGTTAGGAAATTAGGAAGAAACCTCTTTCTCAGCTTTAGGAAGTAATGCAGCAACTTGACTTAACAAACTTGTATGCTTTCCAGATCCACTATTGAGACAAAGTGATCTTCATAGACATATTTAGGCTTTTGTATTCAGAATACACAAACTGCCCTTTCAAAGGCCCCAAAAGTTCTATCTGAGCAGCCACTTGCATCTTCAAGTACTGAACCTGGCAATAAGTACTGCAGTCTGTGTACCACCTGTCTAAGGAGGTGGTGCAGAGCAGGAAGAAAACAGGAGAGAAGCAGTGGGGAAGAAAGCAGGAGGAACCTGAGGAGGAAGGATGTGAACATACACTTCAGAACAGAGGATTAGTGAAAATACCAAATCAAACAAATATGTGCCCTCTGAAAGTGGTAGGATCTTACTTGGTGAAAATACTACACAAAAAACTCCATCGTGAACTAAGAGTTGCATCTGAGGGCAAAAAGTATGTTGCAGCTGAAACAGATTGGAGTGTAATTTCCACCATGCCATTTCATATTGAGATTATTCTCTTGGTTTAAAAATTACAGCCTTCTGCCAAGAAGGCAACAGGCCTTCTTGGCCTGTAGGTATTTCCTGCACTGTGGATTTGTTCTGGCTGATTTATGATAATTCTTGATTTTTTAATCTATATATTATTGAAAGTCAGCATATTTCCTTTTGTGTTTAATCATCAATGGTTGAACCTTCTGGGATTTTTGGCAGATTTAACACATTATGAAATGCATACAAGTAGTGTTTATCCTGTACAAGTAGAGATAGTTTTAAATTGAGACTCTCTTTACCTGCTTAATTCAGAACAAGTTTTGATCCGGAGTGTCTGATAGGTTTTTTGTGCTTCAGGCTGTAACAGGTGGTTCCTCTGCCTTTGGAGTGGATTCAGTCACAGTTGCCTAGGAGCTCATGGGATCTAAAGCAGTTGTGGTGGAGTTTGGTGGAGTTTACCATCTTAAGGAATATAGGTCAGGTAAGGAATAGAGGCAGGCTCCTGAACTTTAGGAAGGCAGACTTCCAGCTCTTCAGAGAGGGTGTCAGTGGGATCCCCTGAGAGACTGCTCTCAGGGACAAGGGAATGGAGCAGAGTTGGCAGATCTTTAGGAAAGTCTTCTACTGAGTGTTAGAGTCAGTGGTCCCCAGGAGCCAGAAACTGGGCAAGGAGGGCAAGAGACTTGCATGGCTGAGTCAAGAACTGCTGGTCAAACTAAAAGGCAAGAAGCAAGTGCACAGGCAGTGGGAACAAATACGTGTAACCTGGGAAAAGTATAGAGATGAATTTGATTGTGTAGGGAGGGGATGAGGAAGGCTGAGGTGAAGCTGGAACTGAACCTGGCAAGTGGTGCAATGTTCACAGGCTCTCAGCCACCAGCACCCCCAAATCCTTCTTGGCAGGGCTGCTCTCCACCTGTTCACCCCCCAGCCTGGATTGTTACTGGGGGTTGCCCCAATCCAGTTGGCACACCAGCACCTGAGCTTCCCATGGGCCAGCACTCAAGCTTGTCCAGGTCCCTTTGGGGTCCTCCCAGATCCTTGTCCTTCTTGTGTCACCTGCACCACTCAGCTTGATGTAATCTGCAAATTTTCTGAGGGTGCACTTGCTTCCTTCCTGCTGCCTATTTAATATCTTAATGAAGATATTAAATAGCCCTGTTCCAAATACAGAACCCTGAGGGACACTACCAGTCCATTGGGACTCTGAGCCAATGACCACTACTCTCAGGCTGCAACCATCCAAACACTTTCTTATGCATCAAACAGTCCACTTGTGGAACATGATAATTCAGAAATGTTTGTAGCCACTGAATCAAGAAGAGAAAGCTGTAAAACTGTTATTGTGGTATTTCACACATAATGCAGTATTTACTGAGTGTTTGGCTGGATTGCAGTCATGAAATGTCAGTTTATAAAAGTGAAAAGTTGAATGTGTAAAAGTATGAAAATTCCCTGGCAGATACTCTCAAATTTGTACAGGTGTATGTGGTTAATTTTGAGAATTGCAGAACTGCATATAACCATATAATTTAGATTTAAAGACTCTAGCAGTATAATCAGAGGATTCAAACATTTCCCACCAAGAAAGCTTAAAACATGAGCACAGCTCTGATCTTAATATACTTATTCAGAAAAGAGTATAATGATACCTATTTCTTACATCCAAACTGTTTTACAACTTCTACAACGATTTTTATGCTGATGTAGTTTGCTGATCTGCTGTTATTTTCAATGTTTCTGACTCCCATTTATATATTTTAATTTTATCAGATAGTGAAAATGGATTCAAATACTTCCAGATGGCTTCCTGTGGACAAGATAATCATATCAAACTCTGGCTTATTTTGTTTTCAGATTTCTTAGGTTTGTATAGAAATGCTTTTTGAATATGCCAATGTCTTAGGTCTTTAGTAACAATTTAAATAAAAAATCAAACTTATACTACTGGATTCACAGCCAAACTAACCACAAATTGAAAGATTTCTTTTAATTATTAGCTGGAGAGCAGCTAAGGCGTTCAGCACTTTGTGATGCTATGCCATGTAGATTTTATTTAGCAATCTATTTATCAACAAGTATTGAAAGTAAAGATTTTTTTAAAAATTCTACTGCGGCCTTTCAACAGGTTGATAGGTTGAAACCTCTTAATCTGCCTGGCTAGTGAGAGGGTTTTTTTCATGTTTCAGTATATCCTGGGCCTTGAATAAGAGCTGGAGAAAAGAATGTAGGCTCCTGCAAAAACTATAATGTGGAGACTAACTAAATTGCCAAAAATATCTTCAGTGGTTACTTTTTTGTAATCTGCTTTATATAAAAGTGTGTAAGGATTAATACTGGGTATCCAAATACACATTTAATTGTCTAAAACCTTGTGAGACATGCTAAGACTACAAAGTGATAAAGTTGGAGATATTAAAGGGGAAGTTGTCTCTGATCTTTTTATCCCCTTTTTTGTAAACAGTATATCACAGAGTCTCATCTTTGGTGGAGCTTTGGGCTTCTTAAAGCAGCTTGTGTTATACCTTGTCAAATGTAGCCATATGTAATAATATACTTTTTGTATTTTTAGGTGTTCAGTTAAAATATAAATGCACACTGAATGGGCACTCTGCCCCAGTTCTGGCTTGTGCATTTTCATGTGATGGACAGATGATAGCCTCGGGGTAAGCAGCACCTTGTTGAAATATCAAGCTGTCCAGGTTCACGCTCCAGTATTGTAAAACAGAAAGGTCAAAAGAGTTAAAGATTTCTAAATATTTATTACCAATAATTAAGGAACAGTTCTGTGACCTCTAGAGATGTTGAAGTATCTTTACAATCAGTCTGTAGGTGATGGAGTTTGAAATCTTGGGTTGTGGAAAAGGTTAATGAAACACTTACCTTTTCCTTCTCTGCATCACTTTAATGTCAATGTATTTTTCTCAGGTCTGTGGACAAGTGTGTCATCATCTATGAAACTGTAAGTATAGCATAATACAGGATCATTTGTTGGGTGTTGTCTTTAAATATAAGCACTGCTTCTGCAGTGTCATTTCAATGAAAAAATACTAAAGAATGCAAATGATACTAAGCCAAAATACTTAGTGTGCATTTGGGGGCAGGAGGGGAAGGAGTCTAAGGAAAAATATCTCCTGAGAATTGATCAGTCTTCCTCACTTTTTATTTACATTGTGAGGATTTGTAAGTTGATTTCTCTGCAGTAGGGTGTTACTCAATTAATTCCATATTTACGAGTATTACAAGAATCAGATTGAAGTGAAAGGATTTTTTTCTGCTCCTAACTTTAGCTTAGCTTCCAAAGCAAAGAAGACTGTACCTATTGACATAAAATCAGGAATGGTGGACATAGACATTCTGTAGTTAGTTATGTGTAAAGTGCACATAAAATAGAAGCATAATAAAGAATTCAAGAAAATGTTTACATTAAGTACAATGTCTTAAAAACCTATTGTTTAAGCATTTTCTGTATAACATTGTTATCTCCTTTATGATTCACCTGTAAGTGGTATATATATATATATTTATAGTATTAAAAACAATAATTTTGCTGAAAATGAAGGATGAACAAATTTTAAACTTCTTCAGCTTATTCTGCACATACTTGTTGTATTAATTCAAATTTTAAATAAGCATTAAAGTTTTTCACCAAAATCACTAATACAATACCTGCAGAGTTTTTGGCCCAGTTATTTTAGTAGTTTGAAGTTTAGACAGATATGTAAAATGTCCTCTAGAGTTCAGGAGCTTCAGAAAATTTGAAGATGAAGAAAGCCACAGCCTAAATATTTCTTAATACTGTTCATCAGCTTTTGTGGCCTTAGGTTCTTATCAAATGGGACAATAACTTTTCTAGTTCTGAAATTCTCCTTTGGAGATAGCCAAAACCTGCCTGGACACCTGCTCTAGATGATGCTGCTTTAGCAGAGGGGTTGGACTATATGATCTCGGAGGTCCCCAACCATCCTGTGATTCTGTGGGGAAAAGTAGGGACAATAAACCTTTGTGGGAGGGAGAGAGATTTCAGCCTATATTAGGGAACTTTGATCATGTTGGACAGCTCAAAATATTGGAGTGCTGACTGATCAATTAGTGATTCAGAATAATTTTGCTCATCATCTTTCCAATCTGTCTATACCTATATGTCAAAGAAATGCTATTTTTTGTAGGAGGGAAAATCTTTCCATAATAAGTTAAAACTGCCAAAATTCAGGAATTTCATATTTGAGTTAGTATTTAGTGGCTAAATAGAGAATAGGCCAAACAGGTGTGGTTGAAGGCTTGTGGGTTGACCTCCACAATGACCCTTTTGATAATTTCTAATACAAGATTGGTAGAAGAAATGTCTTTATCTACACAACCAACCAATATAGATTTAATTCAGTCAGTGTTTCTAGCACTCTTCTCCCTGCTTGTTCCATGCTGGCTGATTGTGCAGGGGAACAGTGCTCCAGGGAATCAAATAGAGACTTAGGAATAGGAAATTCAAGTGGCATTTCTGACTCTGCTGCTGATCAGCTTTGTCAAGGTTGTGTAACTTCTCTGAAGGTACCCTCTGTCACTTTTCAAGAAGCAATATTCCCTGTTTTGAAAGGAAGCAAACAAATGCAGAAACACTTTTTTATTCTTTAAGATTTAAAATCACAAAAACTCTTTTACAGAGTACTGGCAATACCCTTCATACTTTGTCTCGGCATACAAGGTAAGAAATCAGCATGATTATTCTGTTTCATAAATAAAATAAATCCTTTTCTAATGAATTTTCAGACATCTTTTTTTTTATTTGTAGATATGTTACAACTTGTGCTTTTGCACCATGTAGTCCCTTACTTGCCACAGGCTCAATGGATAAAACTGTGCACATATGGCAGCTTGACCTTAAGCAACCCTGTGCAGGTCAGTGTGTGAAGTATTTGAAATCTGTTTTTTTAAACTCAAAACACCTTCTGAAGATGCAAAAATCCCTCATTCTTACCTGCACTTAATGTACAACATCAGGATTGTGTTCATGCTTTTTATCTTCTTATTAACCTGATTAATGCCCAGAAGAGGTATTCTCTTTTTGTTATTTTGTAAAGAAAAATATACTGGACATATCTTAATTTTATTAATTTGCTGTATCTGTTTTTCTGATATTTGCAATTGCTTATTCTTTGGACAGCATGTAAGAGATGAATGTTATTGCCAGAATGTTGAAAGACTTCTTGGACACCCATAATTTGTGACGAGTTGAAAATATGCTAATTGTAGTTGTCAATTAGAAATGCACCTTACCGGTCGTTACAGGTGAAAAACTAATTGTGCAAATGACATTAGTGCCATTAATATAGGATAACTAATGTACAAATTACACCAGCATCTAAAGTTTGTGGAACAAAGGTACATATTGTTCAAAGCACAGCAGTAAGTTTGGATTTTGGTGTGCCTTCTAAGGATGTGCAAGATGATTCCAGTGTCTGCTAGCACTTTTCTGGTTGTTTGTTCAATTCAAATTTGACAGAAGTGTAGGCATCTAAGAGATTAAATTCCTCTAAACTTTGAAAATTGATACCTAAAAGGTAAACCCAAATTACTGCCCTCCCTCACAAAGGAATGTCTAAGAAGCATCTATTTTCTTAGTTGAAGAATGTATAGTACTGAGAACACTTAAAAACAGGATCTATTAATGACATTGTTTCTTTGAACTGAGAATTTCATTGTTGTTTGCTTTTGCGGGGTTGTGGTGAGGTTTTTTTGATTGGGGGAGGGGGAGACGATGTTGTTTGGTTTTAATTGAGTTTTTTGTTTGTATTGTTTTTAAACTTTTTTTCATTTTCAAAGGACGTACTGTAGAAAATGAATCAAAGGTGGCTGTTGAGGACTGGTCAGAGGATGATGTTTCAGCCTGGCTCTGTGCACAGGATTTAGCAAACTTCGTTGAACTTTTCAAAATGAATAATATTGATGGCAAGGAACTACTCAATCTTACTAAGGAAAGTCTTGCTAAGGAATTAAAAATCGGTAAGAGTATTGAAATCCAAATAGTTTTTAATCTCTAGAGTATTTTGAAATGTTGGAATGAAGGTAAGCTAGGAGTTCCATACATAGATTTTTTCCCCCTGAAATGGCTTTTTTATTTCATTTCCAGGGCTGGTAAAAATCCCCTTAAGTTACATTGTCCACAGTATTCCTTTTGTGTGTGTGTGTGTTTGCTCATACCTGGATACTTCTACTTCACTTCTACTAATGATGCTGTTAAATTGTCTTACCTGATTTTGTTTCTATTTCCATTGTTCAATCTTGTATTATTAAGCTGTGGAAAAGTAATTTCAGCTTTTCTCTGCAATTCATGTTTCTCACTTTGGTAAATAGGGTGGTCTATAGTTTTTCCTATCAGTCTGCAGAAGTGCCATGTTTAGAATTGAGGGTGTTCACCAACCTGGAATTGAACAGTGAAATTCCTATGTGTGCATTTGCTGATGACTTTTGGTAAGGACCAAGCAAAGTTTGCCTGGCTCAGACAATTTTTAATACATCAGGTTCCTACACTGTCCTATTGTTTTATTGCAAAACTGTGATTACATTTTAGAAGGAATCAAAAGGAAGCACCATATTACTAATGATTCCGCAGTGGTCATTATGAAATAAGAAGTTTAAAGATCGTAAACTGCACTGGAACTTTCGAAATACAAGTTCTCTATCAATTTTGATGGCCAGATTTAGATGTAAATTAGGTGCTAATACATTTGTTAAACTGAAGTCAAGTATAACAAAAGGCTGAATGAGATAAGAAACCTTTTAAAAAGTGCAGTTGGATATTGTTCATTGTAGGAAGACTGCTCCCTTCCTTTGTGTGTTTGTGTGGAATTGGTCTATATTGGATCATATTATCTCTGTGTAACAGCTGGCTTTGTTGAAATCTAGAAATAACAGAAATGCTGGGAATCTGTCAGGAATTGTCATCCATGAAAGACACTTGGTTTCCTCAGTTTATGCAAACATTTTCCTTAGCACTGCTGTAGCCTAAAACTTTGTTGCAGCAATTGCCAGCTGAGGCTAATCAGATAATGCTGACTAGAAAGTTCTGTGAGAATTGAATGTAGTATGATTTGCTACAAAGAGAGTTCTCTGTGGGGAAAGAAATCAACAAAGGTATATATATCTGACTTTAAAAATTGCTATCTGCCCTAGCTCAAGCATTTACAAAGGAGGAAAATACTATTTGCCTAAAATGAACATTTTCTATCTTACTCAATTCCTGTTTAACTAAATTTTAGGTGTCTACCACCACACAAATGCTTGAATGAGCATGTCCTTTCTCTCCTTGATAAGCTGTTATCTTTCCTCTGAGACTGTAAGAACTTGCTAAAGACCTCTAGAAGTTTTTCACAGTGTTTGCAGTTTGGAGGACATCAGTGTTCCTTCAGAAAGCAGAGGCTCAGGCACCTTTCAGTGCCTTTGTAAGCCCCAGCCAGCAGTGCTGCACAGCAGGTGTGCTGGATCACAGGTGGGTATGACCAGGGGTGTGGAATGCCAGCGTGAGGGTGAAAGGACGTGCAGTCTGTTGGAGATGCTGGCAGCACCTGTGCACGGCTGTACCCTCGCAGTGGCACTGCAGTGTCTCGTGGCAGGGTGTGGCTGCAGGGCAGCGCCGCACGCGCACCAAGTCAACTGCATGGCACCAGGCCACTGCTCTGCCACGGCTCTGCTGCACTTGCACTGATCTTACTGACTGTTTTCATCATTACCTGAAGTTCCTGGTGCACAGCAGCAGAGAGAACCTGTGGCAGGGCTGACTGCAGGCTGGAATGGGAGCCAGGGCTGGCTGCAGGCTTTTGGTTTAGATGGAGATGGAGCTTTTGGTTTAGATGGAGATGGAGCTATGTCTCCTGTAACACAGGTGTACTGACTATTCCAAGACCTGACCTCTTTGCCTTACCTGTCTGTGCTGTCCACTTCGTGTACAAATAATTTTTCAGAGTCTCTAGGCCTGCGCAGTAAAGTTCTCCAGAAAATTGAAGAACTGAGGATGACAACGACCTCGGTTTCTGTTCCTGATGAGTTCCTATGTCCTATAACAAGAGAGCTTATGAACGATCCTGTCATTGCCACAGGTATGTCTTCACATGACATGGGTTAAAACTAATTACTTGAGGGTAAAGATAGGCCCATTTTTGTGTTCCTACACCTATTTGAACATCACACCTAGAAAGATAAACTATTCTAAATAGCTATTGCAACAAACCAGAATTGTGATAAACATTTAATTTGCTGAATTACAGCTCTGATATGGAGAAAAATACTCTAGCAAGCAACTTCTTCCTTTTCTTAATGTGCCTCCCTTTATGTGCCTTTGTAAATATAATTACAAGCCTAATTACAGTGTTGGTTCAGTAAGTGCAAAATAGAATTGTGCATTCAGTGGGGCAAAAAGTAAACAAACAAATCAAACCAGCCCCCCACAAAAAAAGCCCAAAAAACCCCAGGCTCATTTCTATGCTTAGCACACCATCTACAGAGCACTTAAAAGTTTGCACAGAATGAGACTCCTTTAAATGCAGCAGCCATTGGAACTGTGATATGCCAGCAGCATAAGATGTTACATAGTTAAAACATTTTATGAAGAACTATTTTTTTGCAGTTCTGTTATTGGGGGGAGAAGGAAGGAGGTGCATATAAACATCAGAAGATCAGTATAATTTTTTTGTTGCTCTGTAAACAGTAACTAACTTCACCCAGTTCTGAGGTATTAGGGCAGACTTCTGAGAATTAAAATGGCCAGAATATGAAGACATTTGCCAACTGCTGGAGTGCGAGTTGCTTTATTTAATAAGGAGTAAGGAGACAAGAGGAGGGGCATAGGGCCCGGGTTTGTACTCCACCACAGATACTCCTGGGTGACTGACACTAAACTGGAGCCTAATTTCTGTTCAAGGATCAGCTGGTTCAGCTACCAGCTCTAAGAGCCGAAGTCCTGAACCTGGGCAGGTGCTGAAGACTCTGTGCAGGGCTGGGTCAGCCAGGTGGACAAGCCCCCTGTCCAGTAAAGCAGCAGGCTTTAGCTGTGTTAAGCAATTGATAGTAATGAGCTTTCACTTCACATTATGGATCGTTCAAACTGAAAAGAAAGTCTTATTTAACTTGTGCATAATATATTTTGGTGCTTTGCAGGCAGGACAGATACATGAAACTAGCCAGAACTGTTTATATCCACAGTCAAGATTTCACATACAGATCTATTCTAGATCTCAATTTTCCTTTTTGGATGTATTTCCTTACTTCCCTTTCACAATTAAACAGCTAACAAACATCTGCACAGTGCCACAGTGGCCAAGCCTCTGTAATATGAGCTTTTGTTGATGGTGTCTTTGCAGATGGCTATTCCTATGAAAGGGAAGCAATGGAAAACTGGATCAGCAATAGACGATCTAGTCCCATGACGAATCTTCCTCTCCACTCTCTTATGCTCACACCAAACAGAACACTAAAAATGGCCATTAATCGCTGGCTAGAGACTCAGCAGAAATAGTTAAACCACTTAATTTTGAAGTTGTTTGTTAAAATTAATTGAAATTTTATGCAGCTGGAGGAATTAATTGTATCAGAAACACATGGAAAGAAAAACTTGTGCTTCGCTTCTATCTGTGGTTGGTTCAGCCTTCACTGGTGGAAACTCCCAGAACAACTTTAATTTCCTAGTAGTTTTACTTTGTGGTATTTCTGTTTAAGAGTCAAGTACTCAAAGTTTTTCAAATAAAATTTTCTTAAAATTTTTATTACGTTTATGAGTTTTGAGTCTTCATCTTGCCAAGTCAGTCTTTCAGAAGGTGAGAAATAGCAAAGTGTAGGATCTGTATTTCTTTTTCTACTCTAACAAATCAAAATGTGCCTGTCTTTCTCTGTTCCCCATTACTGGACAAGTAGTTGGAAAAGCTGGGAGAGAGTTTCTGCTGTAACCATCTGGGACTGCATCTCATCCCACAGGTATATTAATAATCTTTATTTTGTATGGAAAGAATACAGTAGCTGTGCAAAAATAGAACTACAGGACAAGACTAATATAGGACTTGTACAAAATATCAGAGAAACAGTAAACAATAAATAAGCTAAAGTATAATGAGACAAACTGCAAAAGGATGTGTAGAGCCGGGTACAGCTGTTTACAATGTACACAGAACACTGTAATCAAGCATGATGGGAAGTGTATAAAGCTGAGCACTCCAACTGAATTGCACTCACAGGAATGTCACTGCAGCAGCTCGTTTTCAGCACGTTCTTGCCAGTAAAAATCCTCATTTCCTTAAAAAACCAACGTCTTAACTTCAACCTGTCATGCAACTGCACGTACGCTGTTCTTCAAACTTTCATGTTCCTGCCATCCCTTTCTTGGGTTTCCCATATAAACGTTTACTAAGCATTTAGTTGTTGTACCTTTTCACAAATAAACAATAAATCATTTTGCTTTAAGATAGCACCCAAAGGTGATTAGATACCCTATATAAAGTGCGATTACTGTTAATAGGCCATAATATTGTGTTCTTCAGTGCAATAACCAATATGGTCAAAGCCTCTCAATACACATGCAAATGTCACTCATTTTATTTAATTTCCTCTATTTACTAAAAATAGTTATATTTACATGTCAAAGCATGGCTGCTTATAGTTTACTCATACACAAATTATTTATGCTTCCTAAATGTACATCATGCAACCCAAATTAGATCCCACTAGAAAAGTGATAAAATAATTTGCTTTTTAAAAAATGCATGCATGCACAGATCTGAGTATTGTGCAGCAGATTATCTCCCTAAGTGCTGCTGTGAGACATCAGCATTTGAGAGGCACGAGTACTATGTGTGAGATACAAGAGAACCAAAAGCCAAGATTGAAGCTGTATGTGAAAGGAAAGGCTTATTTAATGGTAACATGTAATGGAAAGGACTTCTCTGCTCAAGCTGCTAGGCCAACCTAATTGAGTCTTTCTACACTAATTTCTTATTCCAGTTACTGTCACTGCCCTGTGATGGTAGGAACAGCTGGAAGTGGTTGTATCCCATTAAAGACTGCTCCCAGGGACCCAGCCATGCCGAGGCAGTCAGTGTTTTGTAGAGCAGTCAGACCCTGTGATGTTGTGAGCCCTGTCAGTGTACAGAACAGTATTTATACATTTGATTCAATGAATGATCGCTTTGGTTTTGCTGCGGTGACGTGACTGAGGTGGCCGTCCTGAGTGCTGTGCGATGGCAGTCTGGCTACAGCATCAGGGTATGAATGAGAACCTTGGTTGGGTGATCTGCTGTCTGTGCAGTGGGGAGGGATGTGGCACGTGAGCTCCTCCTGTTCTTTTGCTTGCATGCTGCTCTGGCTGCCATCTCCCAGGGCAGCACCTGTAGAGGATCCCTTAGTTGAGTAGTGTTTAACTGAGAACTGCTCCACGTTGGAGGGCTGAATGCCTGCAGAAACAATGTTTGTGGATAATCCATCTGCTGCCTGAGAGTGCCAAGTGCGACTAGATTGTGTGTTTTGCTGCTGAAACCTCGCAGTCTTGTCCATGATTCCCATAAACGGGGTATTGCGAGGGCGGTGCTCAGTGCCCTGAGCTTGACTGATGTTGGTATCCTTGAGTCGAACATCTGGGCCCAACCCCTTAACACTGCCTGACAAACTGCTGGCTGAAGTGAAGCTGCTGGATGAGCTGGCAAGAATCACACTACTGGATGGAGAGCCACAAGAGGCACCACTGGGTACAGGGCTTTGCTGCCTTGAGTCACTGAAATTCATTGGAGCAGAGGCTGTTGATGTGTCACCAGGTTTAGATTTACTAGGAAAAGAACGAGAAGACAGAGTCTCATGATGTTGTGGATGTGAACGCTGGCTGGACACCAGCTTCTCATTGTGCAGCAGTTCAGCAGTGGGATCTGTGGAAGTGCTTCCAGATGACAATGTGCTTGTCCCATCCACCTGTTGACTTCTACAGTGCCGGATGGGCAAGGGACTGTGGGGGAGATGCTGCAAAGATGATTGTGGCTTGGTGCTACATTGACTGCTTCCAGGTTTAGATCCAGGCTGGATGGAGCTCAGATGCTGGTTAGTTTTTACAATCTGTGCCTGCTTTGTTGGCTGCATGACCAAGCCTGGCTCTCTCAGGTACTTGTTGTTTGCTCTGCTTTGAGGGGACACACACTGAGCTTTCTGAACACCTTCTTGAAGGGTCCTGCTAAATAACGAAGCAGCTGAGGAACACTGCAGCCTTTGTGGAGGAGAAACAGATTCACTGGGGTGTGGCAGCTCATCTTCCCTGTCTTGAAGATTAAAATCATCATTCACACCTGGTACAATTCCTTCCTCCTCATTATCAGAATTGTTGGTTTGTTCAAGTAGCTGTGGAGACTGATGCTTCTGTTGCTGTGTTCTCTGGAACTGTTTGCACTCCTCTTCCACCCGAGCCAAGAGACGTTTTATCTCCTGATTGCTGGGGCATATCTGAGCGGCTTCCCGTAGGTCAGAGAGAGCAGCAAGTAGTTTTCTGTTTAGGAAGAAATAAGTAAACAATGAAAATTGGGGAAAATCTGTGTCCCAGCATTGCCTACTACTAATCCACCTCCACCCTTTCAGCAAAATGTCCTGTTTTGTTGCTTCTTGCTGCAGGTGGTGACAAATTAGAACTGGAAATTCTCCACCTCAGGAAATTCTTAACTAGAGGGGAAGTGCAGACCCAACCCTGAACGCTTCCCTAAAGTACCCTGACACTCCATGCAGGCTGGCAGGAGAACTCTCTGCTGGGAACACCAGGAACTGACACTTTGTCTCACAAGCTCTTCCAGAGTTACCTCCAGAGTAGGTAACCTGCTGAATTCTGCTTCATGATGATTTATTGATATGTTTAGAAAAGACATGGTGAATCAAAAAGGTACCTCTTCCCGTACTTCAGCTACACCACTACAGTTTGTTATTCTTTCAACCTACACAGATAGTTCCTCCTCTCTCCCCTTATTTTTGTCTTCAACTGCTAATGATTCATCATATTCTTTCCTATCAAAGCAGCCACTAATAAATCGTAAGCTTGGCAATTAATAATGAAGCACTGAAGTTGGGTGGCACACTGCTGGTCACATTCTGCTGAGTCATGTGGAGCAGCAGACCCAGTCACTGTTACATTTAAAATAATCCCTCTTCAAATGAATTTGTTACTTTCTGGACTGCCTCGTAAGTACTTACAGAGCATTCAATATCACTATTTGGATGTGGCTGGTTTTATCTGATAAGAGAGACCTAGTACAGATGCAAAGTGCACTAAAAGATAATATTTTCTTTGCAAATTTGAAATGTAACTATCAGAAAAGAACAAGTTATTAAAAATGGCAAGTTAAAAAAAAATCTCTGCAGACATCACAGAATCAAACAGTACCTGCTGTTCCTCTTGGCTCTCGCTCTGGCATAATAGGCTTCATAACACTTAGGCTTCAGATCCAAGGCTTTGGTAGCAAACTCTTCAGCCATTCCAAAATCCTAACAAAGGAATCAAACACACTCGTTACGCAGTCACAGCAAGCTGCCAGCTGCGGGTCCCGCGCCGGCTCCAGGAGCGCAGCCAGCACGCGTGGCGGAGGCTGCTGCCCCAGCCCGCAGGAGCAGGTGTTTGCTCAGAGCACACACGGGCACAGCCACAATCTGGTTGTGCTGGTTGATAACAAAGGTAGCGGCTGCTGCCCCAGCCCGCAGGAGCAGGTGTTTGCTCAGGGCACACACGGGCACAGCCACGGCATCTGGTTGTGCTGCTTGATAACAAAGGTAGCAGTGTTTTCCATTCAGTCTTTTAAAAGTACTGCAAAGATCCAGCAGTTTGTCATTCCACAATAACTGCATGATGTAAGACCAGCTGTAACAGATCCCCCACGGCAACACGCCCTCATCTTATAAGCCACCCATTTATTGACATGATAAAGCCCAAGATCAGGATATAGTGAAAAGGATTCTAAAATACCACAGATGGATGTCCACATACAACCCCAGCAATGCAGCAGGTATAAGTTTCCCAATGCCAGAGAGGCAGCAGAGTAAGAGCAAGAGCTTACATTTGTTTTGCGGCGACATCGTGACAAATTCAGGTATAATGAAACTCTCAGCTCAGTGAAGGCTTTCATTTCCTCACCAAACCCTTCCCTTGGGAACTTCCTCAATGCATACTGATAACGCTGTGCTGCTTCCCTCATCTTGCCTTTCTGCAAATTTTAGGGAACAAGAGGTTTTTCACAAACTTTTAATATTGCAATACGGTTGCCAAAAAGCATATTTATATTTGACATCTACCAAGATGCCCTTCAAGCAGAAAACACAGACACAGATTTTTTAATAAATATACACAGTATGAACTGCACTGGCAGAAAAAGCACACTGAGAGCCTGCATGTTAATCAGAGTTTGTGTCCCTTTCTGAACTCAAATGTTTAATGGTATTTGACAAGGATAATACTTGCACTAATATGTACTACTAGTACCAGAAAAAAATAATATAATCTGATGTATTACTACTCTGTTTTAAAGAGACTAGTAATATATCAAATTATATAACTGATAAGGAGGCATAAGGGCATTCAGTCTACCTTCAGGCAGAAGTCCAATGTTCTGCTGCCAGAAAAAAAGAAAAATCCACCTACTTTATAGAGCGTATTTCCTTCTTCCATCAGTTTCTGAAGAAGAATCAGGAGAATATCTGGTTTGGAGGTGGCCATTGCCCATGCTGCATTTCCTGCAAGTTAAATTTTAAGGCTCTCTGACAA